CGACGGCGTAGGCAGCCTCATGGTCGTCGAAACCAAAAGATCGGCTGCCGCTCTCGGCTTCCTTGCGTTCAAAGTAGGTGCGTGCGTAGCTGATGGGAGCAATGCCCTGGTCCATTTCCAAGCGGACCTGCTTCATCAGACCCTTCCAGAGCTTCTCTTCCTTCTCACGTCGTTCGCGAACGCGTCTAATCGAGGGGTTCAACCATTCAGGGAGGCTGCCCAAGAAAGGCAAAAGATTGGTGATGGGACCCGAGGGGGAAATCTGAGGGATGAATTCACCAGCGTTCTTGCAGTGCGCAGCAGCAGAGGCCGGGCTACCGTAACCGAGACGAGCACTGATGCGACCGCAGAATCGATCGGTCAAAGCGAAGTGGTCCTTGGGGTCAATGAGGAGCTTGTACATGAACCGCTTGGCCTCGTGGCTGACATAGCCGTAGTACTTCTGGTTGAAGCCCTGGGTCAGGACGGTGTGGGCGAACTTGCGCTGGTTGCGCCAGTGGTCTGCGTTTCCATTAGTATTTAAACTCAGTAACTTGTTCAACGAAGCCCAAACTCACCGTCGTGAGCCAAAAGAGGCAGATACTGTCCCTGGGAGTCACTGCCCGGAACAGCAGGCACCATGGGACGAGAAGAGTAAATTCTGGCCTTCTTGCAGAGCAAGTCGTAGGCGATCTGCGCGTCACCGACCCAGATGTGCATCTCACCGCAGATGGTGGAGCGGAAGATCCCGTTGTATTCATCACAAAACTTCTTCATCGCAAACCAAGGGGCCATTGGGTCGACATCGTGGACGCGTCCGATATATGGGATGGTGCTCATGGGGCCCGGGATGAGCTTGAGACCTGGGGGAGGACGATCTCTCATGGCATATTTGATGATCTGAATGGCGGTAACCAGGACGAAAATGCCAGTACCAATGAACCACTTGTAGGTCCCAATGGCATTGACAGCTTGTTGGGATTGGAAAAGAACGTCGGAGGTCTCGTTAGCATTGAGGTAGCTGGAGATCTGGGTCATGATGACCGACGGCGAGATGGAGGCCGCCATTGTGAGGCAAAAGCAAAAAGGAAAAGGAACTGCCCTTGCAACTGACAATTGCAAGAGAAGCAGAAACCAAACGAAGGGAAGTGATGAATAGATATGGAAGGGGACAACAAAAGGGGATGGATCCTTTGGGGGGGGTGTGGGCGTCAAGGAGTCGGTAATATATTAGGGCCAGCCATAAGGCAATGCAGGCTTGGGCTGGGCCACCATCATGCAATTATTCAGAAGCACCAACGTGGATGATGTGATAGGCGCATCAGGAGGGCGCAGCTTACGATCAGGACTGCAGGACTGGACTGGGGGGGCAAGCGTGGGCGCACAAGAAAGTCAGACCTTTTCTCCGTGGCTAACAGGTTTGTGTTTCTCTGCTGCTCCAGGACTCAGGAGGCGGGCATTCAGGTGGCCTCAGCCGCCCCATCATCAGCGTTGAAAATTGGACGACAACGATACATTAGCCCACGTTAGGCACGACTAGCGGCTGTCAATCATAACACGGTCATGCCGAAAAGAGATCAAGGGTGGATCTTTGCTGCTCCAATTTTGGAACACGAGCGGTACAGCCACGGGGGTTCCACTGTGTTCCCCTGATACTGGTACTGTACAGCCCCTGAGGCCACTTTGCTAAGATTGGCATGTCCGTAGTGGCGCTAGGCCGGTATTAGGTCTAGCGTTTCCGGCTCTGGCTGGGCATCTCCCCTTTGAGGGCGTGATCACATGACCATTCACTTGACCCAATACCATCTCAATACCAAGTCGATACCAGATTGATGTTGTTTAATCTTCCGCCGCTACACAACGCCACCAATAACACAGGTCAATTTTTGAAACATCGTAAAACCTTGGATGCGAACATGCGGTCCAACGATCCCCTCTATCTCGTGTCTCCAAGGAGGAGCCAGAATGTCATCATCACCAGACAACGGCTTCAAAGCAGGCCACAGTATATGACCACTTCATTCTCTAAACAAAGCCTGGGGAATCTTGTACCGACAACAGTATGCTGACAGGAGGAACGATGGATTTAGACTCGCTTACTTACTCTCTCGAGTTTCATTCCAGGAGGATCAAATTGGACAAGTCTCTCCACCACAACAATTGAGTCCTCCAGCTCCACAAGCACCGGAGCCCCAGACCTTCGCGGTCTCGTTTCTCTGAACTTGCCGAGCTACCACATGTGGTAGTACCTAGGCGTTATCTAGGCGAGGATCGAGAACCTACTTGTACCATACTTCCTGACTACCCCCTGCCCCCAGAATAATGACTTCTCGGAAATCGGGAACCGGGTCGGTTCTTGATAACTCGTAGTAATCCAGGCCAGCCTCGTCTTTTGCCAAGCGAACCACGTGCGAGGCTGAGTTATCTTGGCGCCTGCCCCCCCCCAGCCAATGTTGGTTTGTACATACCTTCAGCCTTTTAGCGGGTTTGGTCTTTGCATCACTTCTTTGCGAATGTCTTCCACTCCTTGATGACTCTGTCTCTAGGGATAAAATATGCGTGATCGCTGGATCCGGGCAGTTGAGGCAAGGGATTTCAACTTCATGCGAGTCGCCTGCAGGTCGGGGGGTTTTTCGCCAAGCGGACACTGACTTCCTGCACTCGTCTCAACACAATCTTTCTGCACCTACAATCCAGCAAGCCAGTCAGCCTGAGCCACTTCCCTTGCTTCTCACTTGCTGCAAGGCCTTCACCGCTCAGCTCTCTCCAGCCAATCCTATTGTATCATCTGCCATGGAAACTCTCAGAGACGGTCTGGAGTCTGTGACTCTTCCCTACTGGCCAACTTGCAGAAACGCGCTGACCTGGTCGTCCGAGGATCTGGCAGTCGCTGCAGGTGAGCTGGTGCATATCCTAACCCCTCGCGATGCCTCCAAATCTCTGGGTGACCCCGGGCACAAGCAGTGGCACACGTTCACTCTCCGCGTCAATCAGTTTCAGCAGTCAGAGTGGCCTTCTCAAGAACTGGCCACCATCACCCAGTTTTCCATAGGGGAGGAGCTGTCCGAGTCTACAGTTGTGTCACTTTCTTGGTCCCCAGCCGGTTTGGGTATCTACCGAAGAAGCGCCCTAGCTATTTTGACCTCAAATCTCATTCTATCGCTCTGGGAATCTAACGGGAGACTTGGGGTTTGGCAGCGAACGGCAATTGTCAACCAGTATCTTCCCATTCCATCCAGTGGTGATGACACCGGCAGTTCCAGACGAAAACGACGAGTTCGTGCCTTCCACTGGCTGCCTGCACTCTCGCTTCCTGCGGGATCCAGGTGGGGCTCTCAGTTCCTAGCTGTGGCCGATGATGATTTCACAGTCTCGTTCTTTCATCTGTGGAAGACGAATGGTGCTGTATATGGACACTGGTCATACAAAATTCTTGCACGATACAAATTTCCCGGCTTCCAGCACTTGACTGCAAGTGCAATGAAGAAGCTCGGTTTGCGAACAATTCTAGCCCAAACCTCACCAATCTCAAAGTTTGAGACAAGTGAATGGAAGATTGGAGGCGAAGCAAGTAAGCATTCCGGCACGGCAGCCCTGGATGTCAAGGTAAGTTTTGGCCAGTGTAGTGAGGCGAAATATCTGTCGCTACAAGTCAAGTGGATGGGTGCAGGTAATGGGAAAACCGAACCCACGATGGTGCTTACAGTTATGCCCGCGAAGTCGGCGTCCGGCATTTTGTCCTCAGAGACACCCACACAGGGCCAATTTGAATCTGCGATACAGAAATCTCGTTCCGATTTCGATCGCAAATTCGGCCTTGATGGAAGGATCCGAGTTAATTGCTGGGGCACCGTTTTTTCTCCAGACCGCACGATTGCAGCGGCATGCATCTCCCTACATCCTTCAGACATGATCGAGTACGGCGCCCCCTCAAGTCAACGCACGACAGTTGTGTTCACGCTCGTACAGAAGCCAACGGTCTCCGATCACCTTCCCGAGAATCCATCCGAGGCGCAAAAACGCATTCTTGAGCATATAATGGAGTCATCCCTAGATTTGGTGAAAACGGACCTGGATAAACACATTGTGCGGACCGCTGCTGCCTTGATTAAACTGCATTTTAAAGATTCCTCGTCTCTCACGCGCTGGGCAGATGATTTGCTCAAACTACTTCCCCCAGGAGCCTTTCCTCAAGATCCCAATGGCCCTGATCAGCGACAGCTTTATAATGACGCTGGCGACACCGCAGGCGCTGGATCGAGAGGTGAAGAAAGCGTTCTAGCCGATGAAGTTTGCGACCTCTGTGGCGAGATCATTCCGTTCTCAGCAGACCCGAGTCGAGCAAGATGCAATCGAGGCCATCAATTCAGCCGGTGCAGTCTTTCCTTCGTTGCTATCCAAGAGCCCGGAATTTCCATGTTTTGTTCTAAATGCGGTAGGCAATTCCTCGATCCCGGCAAGCTGGAATGCGTCGGTGGTCCGAGCTTGAGTCAAGCGCTGTTTGATTACTTCGATGTCTGCCCGTATTGCCAGGGCAAGTTCCGAGGCTGAGGCTGGAATGCGGCTCGATGAAGCCATTCTGTGTCACCATCTGAGATTGGAGCCGCGAACAGGTTTGCGCGTGCACGCCCATCATCGCGTTGCAGAAAGCGTTTTTTGGACTGTTCTCTTCTTTGTTCTCTCCGAAGAAGTCAAATTATCCAGACTTGACCGGATTCTGCAAAACTTCATCGCCAGTCTTTCTGGGAACAGAACTTGCCGCAAACGGCAAAATCTTCTTTCAACATGAACGCTCTCCGCAAACATCTACCCAAGATGGAGGCGCTTAAAACAACCTTCAGCGATGAAGCTGAGTTCGAACTCCTTGTTATCTCTCTGGTGGTGGGCATTCTGTACCCATGGTCTTTAATCCCTCAAGCCCGATACGAGTCTTTGCCCGGCAACAAGTCGTTAGCCATCGAGCGACTCCCAAACCTTACAAAGAGGGACCAAAAGCCAGTGTCGCCAAAAGGATCAACGAAATGACATCTGGTGACATGCCCAAATCCTCATCTCCAGCTTCTGGCTGGCGGGTAGGGGTTTCTCGCTTGATGCGACAGTCCCAAGATCCACCACACCCGCCTCCGCCTCCCACAGAAGTCAGCCGCTGGTCCAAAACAACCACGGAATCAGAGATATCTGATGCCTTTGAGGAATCGCCGCCCTCATTGCCTGACAAGAGACGGAGTTTTCTCAAGAGGAAGTCAAAGTTGAAGAGGCAATCAAAGGATACTGCAAACTCGAGTCCAACGGACCCGTTTTACGATCCCGTGACCAGGCAGCTTCAACCGTTTGGGGATGTCCCTCCCATCATTTCCACCGGTGGCGACGGACAACCGAGAACGATGTCTACCTCGGACTCGGATGCATCGTCTGAGCTCGACCCGACCAGTCCAGTCATCCACAGAGCAAGCAGCGTCCGTGTGACCAAACCGCATATCGTGCTCCACAACAACAGCTCCGGCGGTTCGGTGCCCAGGCTCTATGCTCCTCATTCGACCCCGACATCGACTCATGATGGGCCGCCCATGGCGAAAACAACCCAGACCTTGGGCGAAGGCCTCAAACATCTCTCCAACTTGACCGATGTCGAGAAGAGCGAGGAACCTGTCGTCCCAGGCGGTCCAGGCGATGCTCTCAAGGCGCTCGAAGGTCGAGAAGAGCCGCAACAGAAAGAAGACGACATCACCGCACTCCCTCGGGTGCCTGCAGAAGTCAGCACCGAGTGCGGCGATACGATGAAGGAGACCATTCTCGAGTGGCCAGATACTCCAAGTCGGATTGAAGCACTCGACACCTTGCCCACACCTTTTGGCGGGTTTGGCTCTGTACGAGTGCCTCGGACATCTAACGCAACCTACTCAACAAGTGGAAGCACGAATACCACCTATGTTTCGCCTCCCTCTATCATCACAGACGGTCTCCGCGCGAATCCTCCCTCCGAGAATGACAAGAAACTTTCCCGTGCCATCTCAGCACCGGTGCGCAACCCAGCGCGTCGGGTGATGATCCGGCCCACGGATCTGATCATTAGCAAAGGGGTCCACGACCATAAATTGTACCGTGAGAACATTGTCAGCACCCCGTACCCGGCAAGACACAGCAGCATCGGAGAGATTGACGAGATTACTGCTCCCGGTGCACAGGCAACGGGAAACAGGACGCCCAACACAAAGCGTTCGAGGCCACTCTCTCACCACACAGAAAAGTCGGCAGAACAAGACGGGGAGGGTGAGGGCGAAGGCGAGACCAAGACCCCGAACCATGACGACGACACTACTGCTCAAGGTATCCAGGACGACGACGAGAAACGAGACATGGCCCCCGAGATCCCCTTCTCCACAAAGCCCACACTCCTCTCACCAACCCCGGCGCCCCTAACAGCCAAATCCGACCGATTCCCTTCGCCGTCGGCTCCGGAAATTCTCTTCCTGGACCTTCGCTTGGCCCGTCATCCGTCCGTCGGGGTCACAGTGGAGATCAAGGTGACGGACAAAGCGACCTTTGATGACGAGCAGCTATTCACGATGGTGCGGCACAGCTACGTGACGAAGCTGATGGGCCGTGGGAGGTGGTGGTTCTGCGCCCGGACCTTGGAGGCTGCCAGCATGAGGGTTGCTCAGCCTTTTGATCCAAACGCGCCGTTCTGGTATGGCACGCCGCAGCATCTCGGAACCGGCGGCAGCGCTGTAGAATTTGACGGTGCCGATTTCGTGCGGCATCTCCTCAACCCGCGCGTTGGACGTCGGCGGAAGATGTGGCTGCTCTGGCTCCGCAACCGCCAAAGTGTCGATGCACATGGCAAGGACAACAGCAAGGACCACAACGGCATCGACAATGCCAATGTTACGAGTCCAGCACATCGCGCCCGCGGCCGTGGCCGTAGATCCCACTTGGCCCAGCATGATGGCTACGCGCAGGGATACGGTCATAGCCCACAGCAGGGAGACGGCAGTGCAACGAGTCCGGTCTTTTCGTTTATGCCTTCGCGCAACAACAGCGACGGCATCAGCAACAACAATGAGACCTCATCCGCAACACAAGCCAACAGTCTCAACAACATGGCCGGTGCAGGTTTGGTGTGGTCAGCTGGAGGACTCGTCGGGAAACAACCCTCGGTGTCTCTCCCACGAATGCCCTTCCAGCCGTCCGCCATGTCATCGTTCCACCGAACGAAATCCCTCGCGGCCCATACTTCGGCAACCACCATGCCCCTATCCTCCTCCCCGTCGACCATCTCTTCACCATACACCGCGAATCCTTACGCATCATACCTATTCCACCTTCAGCAACAGCACCAACCACCACTGCTACCGGTACAAAACCAAGGTCCCCCCACCATTCACCTCCACCACACCTTCTCGCTCCCATCCATGGCCATCTTCACGTTCGTGCTCCTCATGCTCTCAGTCCTCACGACCACGTTCTGGATCCTGTTTGGCTATCCCGGCCGCAGCGCGGCCGCAGGGAACGGCACCACGACGGTCGCGGGCAACGAGTACGCGCTGAGTTGGCGGCGCGACGCCCAGGCCCGCGTCGGGGTCGGGCTGGTTATGGGCGTGGTGGTCCTTTTACTCGGGGCAGGCTGCGAGGTGGCGTGGGTCTGGACGAGTTGGGTTCTTGTCTAGAGGGAGGTAGCTAGCTAGCTAGCCAGATCCAGTGCAAGGGAAGGATGATTTCTAGACAAGAAACGTGTGAGCGAAGAGCTCGAGATCTCGAGCAAAGGACCCGAGAAGAGAAGGAGAAGCCAGGAGACGCAGGGAGAGAGGGTAGAGCGAATACAGCCAAGAGGGCAGGACAGGCAGGAGGGGTACTGTTGTCGTTTATTCAAATAACAAGTAAATGTACCCGGCTGATCGGTATATCATGTCCTACTCCTACGTACCTACGAGCAAATATGTAGGTATACAGGTACACAGGCACACAGGCACATTCACACATCTGTCCACACCACGAATGTCCTTACTTGGTTGGGTGGCGGTAGCTCAGCTACTGAGCTATGTACTGTAGGTACCCTTCGTACCTACCTCGTAGCTGCGTATGTACCTACCTCCCTACCTACCTACACCCAACTCCCAACTACTACTGATTCATCTCGTTCGATGAAATGCTCCTCCACCGACCTCATTTCGCCATAATCTACTCGTTTTTATATTTTTCATTTTACACACACACACACACACACACACACACACACACACACACACACATGCACCAACACACACATGCACCAACACACACATGCACCAACACTGTCTAGCAACCCCGCGCGAAATCATGTTCAGATTCAAATTAAATCCGCTCCACACGGTCATCGCTTTCCTCGTCACATCTTGATTCAATTCACGATACTACCTACACAGACACACTTCTCTCGAACAGCTCATACCACTGATCACACATGCTCCAGTCGTCCGTAATACGTCACATCGCTAATACTAATACGTTTTAGTTGATCATATATCTAGTAATATTTCCATCATACAGTGCTGTCCTGCTTCCCAAAACAAAACTTCTACAACGGTGTCCAGCGGAAAAACCGAGTCTGCACCTATGCTTTGACAGTCATCACTTCGGCCACCCATTCCGTCGTTGTCGCCGTCGCCGTCGACTTCCTCATTCCTCTGGGCTTGTCCTTTTCCATCTCTGATTGCGCATCCGTTCCCGCTAGCTTCCTGTCAGACTCGATTTTCGGAGTCAGAGAGAGATCCGGTGTTTCAAAGAATGCCGCTGAAAACTCCGGTTCGAACGTCAGTGCTGCCGTCTTTCCACTGTGTAAGGGCGACGTAGCGGTCGGCAGAGTAGTTGCAGTGCTAGCTGCTGAAGTAGGTGTTTCGTCCCTAGCGTCAGAGTTGGGACTATCTTCCACCTCTTCGTGTTGTGCGATCTGAGCCTTAGTGAGAGCACCAGGTAGACCTGAAGTGACGACAGGAGTAAGATTGACGTTTGAAATCACGGGTGTGGTGGCCCGGATAGGTGTAGAGAACATCTCTGGATTCGAATTCGTCCTTGATCGTGTGAGAGGGACACTCTCTAATATCTCGCTGGTCAAAAGTCGAGAATCATAAGTAGCCATCATGGGCACTGGTTCAATGAATGCGCGGTCCGCTGATGAGATCGGCTCAACCACAGGCGTACTCGTCGCAATCACCTGCTCATCTGCTGCTGCAGCGGCAGCAACGATTTGGTTCACGATACCATTTGCCCCAGACTCCAATGCCTCTCCGAGCAGAGGTTGGCTCTCGTGCGCTTCTCCTTTCGCTTCGGCGTCCTCGTCTTCTTCGGCGATCACGGCTGAATCGTTTCGTCGTCCATGTAAACTGCCGAACCTAGTAAACCGAGACGGTGTGGAAAGCCTCTTCATTCTTCGTGGACTCGAATTTGGTTGGCCGATCGGCTGCTTGACCGGACTTGACGAGGCGATGTTCATATCCATCGAGGACGTGTGCTCGTGCTCGGCGTGGTTCGTCGTAGGCCCCGAATATGGTTCAATTGTCGCCTGGCGCGTGTCGTTTTCGCCAACTTCCATTGGGATTATGGGTATGAACTTGTGGCGACTTGCGTCAGAAGCTCGTCTCTCAGACGTCCCTGACGTTCGTTCAATCTCAAAGCTGAAATTTGTTCTTAAGTTTTCGTTTTCCAGCACCGGACTGAGTTCGCTCGCGTATCCCGAAGGCCGCTTCAACTTCCCACAACAGGCGCATCGAGCGTAAACCGGAGCACTGACAATTTCCTTTTCTTTGCCCTTGAAATCGCTTGGAATAATCAAGGAGAGAGGGCGAGTAGCCGGGTCGGTCGAAGAATCTTCGGTCTCAATCGTCGCCCCGTCTACTTTGACTTCGTCGATCGCCTCGACCGGTGTCGCAGCCTTCTTCTGAGACTTGTCTGGTTCTTTGCTTTTGCTGAAAGAAAGAGTCCGCCTCCTCCCCTTTTTCAGTTTACTGGTGGTTTCCGCACAATCATGGTTGCTCTTATCTCTACTGTTAAAGAGGGCCGTATGGATCGTAAATCGCTTCTGCTTTTCTTTTTCCTTCTTGGGTGATTCAGGAGGCGTAGTCTCCTTTGCTGGTTCGACGGGCGAATCTGTCACAGGTTTGGACTGAGCGTCATCGATTTGCGGGCTGGATTCGGCTGGGGCGACCTCCTCATCAAGTGGAACCTTGGGCTGATTGTGAGGATCGTCGGCCAAGTCCACGGCCGGGAACTTGTCCATATCCACAATCATTGACACTGGCGAGTCGGTCACTCTGGGCGGACTCGCTGGTCTTGATGACGGAGCGCTGACGATTGGTACAGAGTTGGAGCGCACATTATGCAAACTTTGAGCGCGATAAATGCTGACTTCCGGCGACTCATGTCTCCCTCGTTCTGGGGAAGTGCTCACCTGGCTCTGCCGTGGTCTCGAAAAGTAGGACAGCGGATTGGAAACAATTTTCTGAGATGGGTACTGTAGCATGGTCAAGGAGCCTGTCCGTGTAATTTCTGGACCTCGGTAGGTAGGAAGTCCCCGGTATGTCGAAGATCCAGAGCTCGACGGGCGGGAAGACCAGCCATTGGCGGACATGAATGCAGCTTGTGCAGATCCTCGAGGTCGAGGGGCGTGGATGATGCCGCTCGCATGGCTATGAGCCATATGATGGCCGTGGTGGTGGGCGCCATGAGTGCTGGATTGAGAGGATCTGCGATGAGTATTGGGGGTATGAGGCGGGGTCGGGATGTTCACGTTGCTATTCTTCGAGATCGAGTTTCGGTGTGTCTGTGCCCCATAGGCAGGAAGCTCATCCGGGGTTGTTGGAGGAGTTGCATTGGTTGAACGTCTTGATCGAGATTGAGTTGAGGTCGATTTCGAGCTCGATTGACTACCCGTCTTCGAGGTTAGGGCACCATTATTAAGCGATCGAATTTCGGCGGGAGTCAGCTTGGTGACGTTGGCACTGTTTCGGGCTGCATGACGCTGTCTTTGTTTCAGTGTCTTTTGCAACCTGGCCATATCAAACTCGTCTGCATGAAGAAAAGACACAAGGGTCAGTTAGTGTCGGACAAGGCATGGATAAAGCTGGTAGAGGGAGGGGGATAAACAGCTAAATAATAACGATCAAGAATGGCAGGCTAGGGTCGGGCAGGGCTGAGAAAAGCCCTATGGGTCTGTGAGGTCAGTCAACGAAAAATGGTTGGTGAAGATGCCTGTGGTAAAGCCAAACAAAACGTGATCTCTGCAAGGTAAGCTTCCCGACTGAGACAAAAAAGGCCACCCACCCGAGGGTTGTGCAGTCGCCATCGCCGGCATGGCTGGCGTTGGACGGGAGCTCTTCTGCGGGTAGAACAGTTCCGTCCAAGTCCGTTGTGCTTGTACGAGTAGGGACTCCGGTCAGCTGGGTGCGTTGACACAGGTAGTGGTACACTTGTGCGTCGGGCCCAGCCCCCTCCCAGGACACCGGACGGATCTTGGGGCTGAGGCGAGCAACGATAAAAGGCGAAGGCTGCCCCGGTTTTACGCAAAATCGCAATCGTGGATGCAGGTCGTCGTCGTTGGCTTGCAGCAAGGCCGATGCCCGATCTGTTGAGAGGGAAACTGAAAACGGTGTTCGGATGCTGAAAAGGGGATCAGTGGTTGCGGTGTGGAATTGGCGGCACGATCGTCGTTCCTAAAGTGGTGCTTTTGGCTGGGGGCCCTGTGGTACGGCGTCCAGAACGCTGGATGATGACGGTGACAGAGAATGCAAGGTAAGAGAAGTTGTTCTTAGGGTTGCAGGAGAGGCGCGATGTGGTGGACTAAAAAGCGAGAGTTGTTGAGATGCTGAAACGAGTGATGGGAAAGAAACGAAAGGAGGGTAGGTTGACGTGCGCGCAACCGATCAATTGATGATAGATGATGGGATGGATGAATGGAGGAATGCCGTGGATGGAGATGATGGTTAGAACTCGCAGGCGAGAGGGGCAGCAGTCACAGATATCCAACCTGGACCTGGACCTGGAGCATTGGTGTGGCTGCAACAAGAGACATGGTGTCTCGTCGCATTCTTGCCGGTGGACACTGAGATAGTGCCGGCGACGATTGATGGTCTGTACGAGGTATTTGAAGGGCGAAGTGTCGAATGACTCTTCTCTCTCTCTCTTTCGGTATCTTCCAGGTTCTGTTGTAAACAACTCTCTGACCTCGTATTCCTCTGTGTTTGTCCCTTCTCTTTCTCTCCTTCTGTTGTTTTTACCTATCTCCACCGCGCACTCTTTGCCCATGGCAATGGAGGATCGGCCCTGATTGGGAATGGAGTGGCACCAAAGGCACAAATGGCGGGATCAGGTGGATGGAGCATCAATGGAGTCTTTCGGCGCGAGATGCTAGCGAAGTCGTTGGTTAGGTTTTGGGGACTGTCTAAGCTTGCGGCGTCGGCCCTCCAATGAAATGTCCCTCAGGCTTGGTAAAATTGAGCCAACGCCAGTCCGCAGTGCGGGCCGGCACTCGTAGTTGAGGTAAGGGGGTGCATTTGGGGGGCGCCATTGGGGAGGCACGGGAGCTCGCCACAACAAATAGTCGGGTACCTAGGCGGGCGTGGCGGGCTTGGGCCACCGCCTAACTGGAATGAGGGCGCCCACCGACGCCTATCCGGACTTTTCTACAAGTAACTTG